AGCCTCATGGATTATTCACTCCCTGTCAGTTATTTCTGTTCCCGGCTCTGAAAAAATAATGAGCCCGATCAGTAGGAAAAGCCCCAGGGATTTGGGGAGCAGGATGAACAGGCTGCCTCTGCTCAGCCCATGGCCACAGCCCATTACAGGTCCAGCTCCTCACCTGCGGCTCCAGAGCATCCCAGCCTCTCCTGGCTCCATGGGGACCACCACGAAGCCATCCTGCCTCCCATCCAAGCTCTGTGTTTTCCCAGTGTGGTGGTTTCGTGGGAAGGAGGGTTCCTCCTCTTCCCCCAGCACCAGGCTATGTTTTCCTGCAGTATCCCAGTGTTCAGACATGGCTTTGCCTAAAAATGCTGGACTAAGTGTTTAAGGCTCGATGGGAATGTGGGGGTTTAAATATATTTTTATTTTTAGGTGGGAATTTGCAGATCTAGGGGGAGTGGAAACTTCCAGGAGTTGGGAATAGCAGGTGACAGGGGCCACAGAGTTTTGTGTCCCTGCTGGTGATGGTCCCTATGGAAAACCAAAATCCTTGGAGGAGCTGGAAAGGGGAACTGTGGGATGAACTGGGGTGTCCCAATGTCTCTTCCCCATGGGAAGAGACTGACTTTGGGCACTCTTCCAGCACCTAAAGGTGCTCCAAGAGAGCTGGAGAGGGACTTTAGAAAAGAGCCTGGAGTGCCAGGACAAGGGGGAATGTCTTCCCACTGCCAGAGGGTGCGTTGAGATGGGATACTGGGAAGAAATGTTTCCCTGTGAGGGTGGTGAGGTTCTGGAATGGATTTTCCAAGGAAGTTGTGGCTGCCCCATCCCTGGAAGTGTTTAAGGTCCCACTCCAGGATTGCCAGTGAGGTTGATGCTGGTGAAGCCTTGGAGAAGTTTTCTGGAACTTTTCTGCAGCCTCAGGAGTCTTCCTGGGAAGGAGCAGATCAAAGGCTGGAATGTCACGTGCAGGGGTTGATGGACACATCTGGGACAGGGTTTGGGAACAATGTCACCGTGTCCCAAATGCCAGGTATGGATCACCCCAGCAGCCAGCGATGCCCCCCCAACCTCCCACCTACTCCCTGTTCCAGATTCCCTAATCCAGGATGGACACTTGGATGTTTAAAGCCAGAAGACCTGAAACTTCTCCCAGAAAACATGACTTTCCTTCTGGAATCAGTATGGAAAGAGCCCTGCGGGAAGCAGAAACACCTGGAAGCAAAGCAAAATGTTGACTTTTGGTATTTTTATGGGGATATAAAGTTTGTCCCAGGAAGCAGCAAGTTTCTTTGGAGAGCTTTTCTCTGTTGTAATCTGTTTTCTTTGGAAAAAACCTCACAGATTTTGGGGTTGGAAAAAGAATTTTGCTTCCACCAGGCTCATAAATTTTGTTCTGTGCGGGTGGGAGGGAATTTGGGAGGGTCTCGCTGATCCCCCCTGAGCATCCAGTCAGGTTTCCCCATCCAAAACTTGTCCTAGAAAATAGGAAAATGAACATTAAAATCCAAGGAATGTGTTGTATATATCTACAAAGCCAAACATTCCTGCAAAGCAAAGGTTGGAAAGCTCCACCACCCGGCCCTGCTGCTTCCCTGCATCTGCTTCAAAGCTTCACCTCCTCTGGAATCCGCTTCCAAAACAAATCCTGACATCCTACCTTGGGCTCCTGCCATCCCCAGCTGGACCTGGGTCTATTTAGGAAGGGGGAAAGTGCTTTTTATGTGGATCCCTTGCTTGGAAAGTGGGGTTTTGGGGGCTCAGGGCAGTCACGGCTGTTCCTGCCTGCAAGGCTGGAACTTCAGGAATGCTGTAGGAATCTGGAAAGGCGGATTTGGGAGGAAATCCACCGTGTAGGGTGGTTTTGGCTGGGAATGTGAGCCGTGGATAATGGTGGAGGATACCCTGGCTGCCTAAAGGCTAAAGAGGGGATCCCAGAATTTCCACGGAGGCTCAAGTGTTCCTTCCTGGGGCTGGAACGAGATCCCTGGGATTGTTAGGACTGGAGTGTTGAGAGGGATGAGGCACCAGCAGGAATTAAAGGCTCTGAGGCATCAAGAATGTGATGAAGAGGCTGAATCTCATCCATGTCCATGTTTTTCCTGGAAAGCTGTGCTGCCAGATGCAGCCCTTTACAAGGCCAAGTGCACGCTTCCATCAGGGATGCAGGATGGAGGAAGGTCATGGGTGGGATAGAGGAATGCCATTGGAGCTGGGATGGAGATGTGAGTAGCTGCTCTTTGCTCTTCAGGTCTGTTCTTCCAGCTCTTTTTTGGGATACGATTTGGGCTGGTTTGGAGGGGGTGTCCCATTCCCTGGTGTGTGGGAGCATGGGAAGGGCACAGAATCCTGAAATGGTTTGGGATGGAAGGAGCCTTAAGGATCATCCAGTTCCATCCCCCTGCCATGGGCAGGGACACCTCCCACTAGCCCAAGTTTTTCCAAGCCGGCTCCAGGGCTGGAAGCCACTCCTGCGCTCTGGAAGCGCGGCGCTTCCAAACGCGGCCTCTCGGCTCCCTCTAGGGCCAGAGAGAAGGAAAGAACTTCCACAAGTTGCTCCACCTGCTCCTGAAATCGTCAGCTGGAGGGTCCTGTCCTTTCCCAGGCAGAGAGAGAGGTGTTGGGGTGATGCCAGAATCCTGGACCTAAACATTCCCGTTCCACCAAGAAATTCCTACGTTGCACACACCAGACACCCAGGAAACCTGGGGAGTTCTCCAGGTCGGCATGGGGTATCCCAATGCTCCTGGAGAAAAGGGCATCACTGTTTTCTGGGAGGAGGGAGGGATGGAGGCAGGAAGGGGCCTCTGAATCCCTCGGGATCCCCTCACCATGTGTGGTGGCTCCATTCCCAGCCTGAGCTCCCATTTCCCATCATAAAAAACAGCATCTCCTTCCCCTCTGGCTCCCGACGGAGATGTCAGGGACCCCTGAATCCCTTCTGTGTGTTCTCACTGGGGACAAATCCACAGGGAGGGAGAATTCCCAAAAATGGCAATAAAGGAGCTTTCTTGACAAGAGGGTTTATAAAGTTTCCTGTCTCAGTGTGAGTTTTTCCTGGCAAGTGGGCAGGGTTAGGTTATGAACACCTCCTTAGGTACCAAGCTAATTACAGGAGTGTTTCCCAAGCAAAGCATCCACAATATGGGATGGAAAGGGGGTCTTGAAGCATCCCAAGGGAAAAGCATCCAACAATTCCCAAGGCTGCAGAGCACAGGGAGGGGTTCCCTGTCCCTCCCTCCCTCTTCCCATGCAGGATTTTGGGAGCCTCCATTAGCAAAGCCACCTCGTTGAGCAAGAAGGCCCTGACGAGAATTCCATGAGTGAGCTTCCCACAGGGAGCAAAGGGCAGCGGGAGTGTGTCCCTGCCAGGCCAGCACCTCCTGGGGATTTCGGACAGCAAAGGGACTGTGGTGAGGAGGAAGAGGAGAAGGAAGGCAGCTGGGAATCCTTCAGCTTCCTGGGCTCGTTCCCAGGCCATGGTGGCCACCATGGTGACTGACGCCAGCAACGTGAGGATCATCACGGAGGTGATCCCGGCCACGGATCCCCGGGCGGCCCAGCTGGCCTCAGGCTCCCAGGCCCCTGCCAGGACCTCATTGCAAACACAAGGCTTCTGGAGGGCTCATCCTAGGGTGTTGAGAGTGAGACATGGCCCTCCAGAGATTGGGGATCCACAGGGATTGTCCTGCTGGATGTTGTCCCTGGCTGGCTGGAGAGGATGTTGGGACAGGTGTCTCTGCCAGTCCCTTCCCAGCACTGTGACGTGGGATTGGTGTGGGATGGGTCTCACAGTAACGGGATAGGGATTCCTCTTCCTCGTCCTTCCCCAGACCATCCACATCTTCAATGGAATTGTCCACATTTGCTTCGGGATCATCCTGACACTGTCAGAGCACAGCAACCCTTCCCTCCCTGTGGCCAGTGGGATCCTCTTCTGGCTGGGGATCCTGGTAAATTGGGATGAGGACATGGCAATCTCAGGGAATCCTGGTGGACTGGGGACAATATCCCAGGGTCACCAGGTCTCCACTGACCATCCCCCCACATTTCGGGGTGTTTGTGCATCCCTGAACCCCAGTTCCCAGCTGGAGGGACACCAGGAAGGGTGCCAGGGAAGGGTGCCTTGCTGCTGACACCAATTCCTGCTGTTTTCCAAGTAGCTCCTGGTCTTGGGCTCGTTGCTGGTGGAAAGTGAAAGGAGAGACAGCCCTGTGCTGGTGAGATCCAGGCTGGGACGGACAAGGTGTCCCCCCATTTCTTTATGTCCCTTCCAGCAGCTGCCAGGACTCCTCCACAGCCTGGATTCATCCCACAGGATCCACAGGCCAGTCTCCTGCTCAGGGAGTGCCCAGCTCTCCCACATGGAGCACAGGATGGGGGTCATTGCAGGATGAATCCAGGCTGTGGAGGAGTCCTGGCAGCTGCTGGAAGGGACATAAGGAATGGGGGGACACCTTGTCCGTCCCAGCCTGGATCTTACCAGCACAGGGCTGTCTCTCCTTTCACTTTCCCAGCTGGTGAGGGAGGCGGGGATCCACGGGGATCCCTGGAAATCCCTGGAATGCTCATCCACCCCTTCCTTCCCCCGAAGGGCCGCCCCGATCCGGGAGTTCCCGTGTCCCCCGCAGAGGTTTCCCTGGATTTCCCTGTTTTTGCTTTCCCAGGCGCTGTAGCCGCATCCCGGGGGGGGGGGGGGGGGTCCCACTACCGGAGCCCCCTGCGATGCCCTCAGTGTGTTCGGTCCCCAATAAAGGCTTCTCCCCAAGCCCAACCCGCGCGTGTCTCCGGGGGTTACTCGGGGTACGGGGAGCCTCGCCCCGACTGTGTTTGGGGGAGTTCGGGGGGTCCCGGTACCGGCGGCCACGGTGGTGGGCGGTGCTGCCCGGCACAAAGATGGCCACCGCGCCCGGTACAAAGATGGCGGCCGCCGCCGTGCGCGGAGGGCGTTGCCCAATACAAAAATGGCGACCAGGGAGGCGCTCTGACTTCGCGCTTCCGCGGGGAGCGCTGCTCTTACGTCATCTCTCTGCGACGCCGCGGGGCCGCGTGGATCATGGATGGGGAGAACGGGGGGACCCCGGGATCGGGACCGGGACCGGGAGCCACCCCCGAGGGGCCCGGCGGGGCCGCCTCGGCTCCGGCCGCGGCTCGGCGGCGGCGGAAAGGCGTCAAGAAGCGGCAGGAGGCGGTGGTGGCCATCCCGCGGGGCAAGCCCAAGTCGGGACGGGTGTGGAAGGATCCCGGGAAGAAGAGGTGGGAAGCGAGGCGGGGATCTGGGGGGCTCTGGGCTCCAGAAGGACTGTTTGAGGGGTCATGAGGTCTGGGGGAACTTTGAGGGGGACAGGATTGTTTGAGGGCCTCTCGGGGGCTTGTGAGGGTGTTCCGGAGGTATCCATAAACTTTAGGAAGGATCCAGAGGTGACAGGGATGACTTGGAGGGGATGTAGAGGAGCTGAGGATGCCGTGGGATGCTCCGAGGTTGGCAGAGTCTCATGGAATTCTGGAGAGTGGCCCCGGCTACATCCCGGGGTTTTTGAGGATCCAACACCTCCCGTGTGCCCGCACAGGTTCTCCCACATGATCCAGGACAAGGCGCTCCGCAGCTCCTGGGCACGGAAGATGAAGGAGAGGCAGGAGAGGAAGCTGGTCCGGGATCTGGCACGGCAGCTGGAGGAAGCCAAGCAGAGGGAGAAAGAGGTAATGGGACTCGGGAGCTGGAGAATTCCCATCTTTCCCAAGCACAATCCCATGTCTCTGCCCTCTTCCCGGCCCTTAGAGATGTAGCAGAGCCCGGGAAAAGGGCAGCTGGGATGGAGAATGGAGAATTCCCTGTCCTGGTGCCAAATCCAGTCACTGACGGTCACATGCCCCAAGTCACTGACTCGGAATAAACTCCCTGGGTCAATTCCAGCCTCAGCCGGGGTGGAAAAGCTGCTGGAATGACGGATTTCACACTTGGCTGGGCATTGGCTGGTTTGGGTTTAATCTCAGGGGAAGGGGCCCGCAGGGAATGTTGTGGTGCTGCTCCCACAGGAAAAGAAGCGGCGGCGGGAGGAAAACCTGAAGCGGCGCCTGGAAAACGAGCGGAAAGCCGAGATTGTCCAAGTGGTGAGTCCCCTGTGCCGGCTGGGAACAGCCCTGGGAGCACCCCACAGCCTCCAGGCCCCCATGGATCAGCCCCCAATTTGCTCCAGTTCCTCTCCCTGTCTCTGTTTCTGGAGGATCCTGGGAGCACTGGGAGATTACCAGTAAAGCTGGGCACGCTGGAAGCCTGTCCCCTGTGTTCTCCCAAACTTGGGAACAGCAAACTGAGGGATGATGGGGTGGTGGAGCGAGGAAAATGCTGCACTGGTGGGGATCCATGTGGGGAAATCATGGCTTTTCCACTGGGAAGAGAGCTGGGAGCTCGGGGTGGGTGTGGTGAAGACCTCACCTGTGGGAGAGGAGAGGTGGGTTTTGGGATAAATCCCCTCCTAGATCCTGAACCCTTGGTGGTGGGAGACTGGGAGCCATCCATGCCCATCCTGCCTCATTCCCACACTCTGCTCCATTCCTGGAAATGCTCCAGGACAGGGCTTGGAGCCACCTGCACTAGTGGAAAGTGTCCCTGCCCTTGGCCGGAGGGGAACTGGGTCATCCCTAAGGTCCCTTCCAACCCAAACCATTCCAGGACCTGATGATTCCATGAAATCTCCTCTCTTTTCCCATTTCCCAGATCCGGAACCCCCTGAAGCTCAAGAGGGCCAAGAAGAAGCAGCTGAGGCGGGTGGAAAAGCGGGATACACTGGCCCTGCTCCAGAAGACTCCCGTGAAGCGCAGCACAGCCACGGAATGAGGCAGGATTTGGGATACTGCCACCAGGATCCTGCTCCTTCCCAGGGCTTTTTCCTCAGCTTGCCAGGCAGGAATGGCTGGCAGGACCCTCAGTGTTGGACAAGCAACAGGACAGAGCTGAGGGGGTGTATTCCACAGGCATTCCTGCTGCTGGATCCCCCAGTCCCTGTGGAATCAGGATGTGGCTGGTGCCAGAGGCTGGAACAGAACTTTGCTTTCCCAAATTTGCCTTTTCCTTATAAAAATTAATAGAAACTGAGACACATTTGCTTCCAGTGGCTCTGGGAACTGGTGGCTCCAGCTGGGGCCTTCCCTAATGCATTCCTAGGATTGGAATGTGCCGTGGCCCCTCATTCCTTCCAGTTCCCCCTTCACCAAAGAGGGAATTCCCGTTGAGAATGAGCCCTGGAACCCATCAGCAAGGAAGGGGGCATGTTGTCACACACCCTCCTGTGGGGGGCAATGCTGGGAATTCGCTGGGGGCTGGAAGTTGGAAATCCACCTGGATTTCTTAACATTCCTGGGGTTTTTTTGGTCTGTGAACACCCCTTTCTGCATTCCTGGGGGAGGGATGTGTGGCTGTGAGCTGGGATGGAGGGGATGGGGGAACAAAGGGGTGCACCGGGTGGAAAATGGGACTGCAGGAATCAGTGTGAAACCCTGGGATGGGAATGTGGGGCTCTGGAGCTTCATCCTGGGGTGACAGTTTTGGGGAGGAATTGGAATGGGGTGTGTCCCATCCGTGTCCAGGATGGGGGGCGTGCCACAGGGAAAGTGGGGACTGGCAGGAATTTCAGGGTGCGGCCGGGACCAGGCGGGCACGGGGTCATGGGGCAGGAGGGCTCTGCCCTCGACATTCCTGGGTTAATGATTTCCAAGGACTCCTCGAGCCTCTCCCTCTGCAGAGCCCACGGCCCAGGCTTTGCCCAGCGGGGTAAGAGAGGGGGAAGCTCGGGCACTGGGGGGCCGATTTCCTGGTGGGACGGATGTGGGAGAAGCCATGTCTCCTCCCAGGGCTGGACTGGGGCCAACATCCCTGTTCCCAGCCTGCCGTGCTGCACGGAGGGGAGCGGGGTGCACGCGGGATTGGGGCGCTCGGAGCCTCTGGATCCCCACCCTGCTCCGGCTCCGGGGTGGGGAGGAGGAGCAGGAGGGGGGAGCGTGGGTGCTGGGAATGCCAGGGCTGGGAGACACATGGAAAAGGGGTGTCCCGGCTGCTGGGTGAGTTTTGGAGCAGAGGTTTGGAGTCAGGGGGGGGAGGTGGTGAGGAAGGGAGGGGATGGGGATAGGGAAACAGCCGACTAGGATCAGGGAAGGAGGGGACAAGCACCAGGAAAGAAGGGACAAGGGACCATGAGGGGATGGGGACATGGGAGAGGGATAGGCACAGGGAAGGAGGGATGCCAGCAGAACTATCTGGACCACAAACTCCACCCTGGGGGTCTCCCGTGAGGATCCCTGGGTCCAGGACCCTTCCACCAGCCCCCTCCTGCGTGTGGCAATCCCTGTGGGACGCTCAGGGTGATTCCCGTTCCCAGGTGCACCATGGTGGAGGTGACAGTGACACCGCAGTCCTCACTGGCCGACCGGCCAGTGCAGATCCGAGTGCGGGGACTGTCCCCATCCCAACTTGTCACCCTCCGGGCCTGGCTGAAGGACGAGCAGGGCGAGTGCTTCCAATCCCGTGCCTTTTTCCGCGCTGATGAAGCCGGAGAGGTGGATCCCGGGCTCCATGCCGCCCTTGGGGGCAGCTACTCTGGGGTCTGGCCCATGGGGCTCTTCTGGTTCCTGCAGCCCGACACCCTTTTCCGACGGCTGGTCAAGCGGGATGTGGCCGGCAGCCCCTTCCGCGTCCGGCTGGAAGTGTTTGATGGGCTCAGCATGGGCACGGATCCCCGGGAGCAGCCGCTGGCATCCTGCGAGGCCGAGCGGTGGTACGTGGGCCCCGGCGTGCAGCGGGTGCCCATCCGTGAGGGAAGGGTCCGTGGCGCCCTGTTCCTGCCTCCTGGTGAGCACTGGGGAGCGGGGAATTCCGGGATATCCAACCTTGGGACTTGCAGGATGCTGCTTCTTGGGAGCCCTTTGGTGCCCAACCTTGGAACCCCTGGGCTACCCAACCAGTATTCCCTTGGGATATTGAATTTTGGGATCCTGGGGATGCCAAACATCGGGACCCCTGGGAAATAACGCTGGGACTCCTGGCATGCTAAACCATAAAATTCCTGGGTTTTCCAGCCCTGGGATAATAAACCTCAGGGCCCCTGGGCTACCCAAAGTTGGGATTCTTTGGTTGTCCAGCCTTGGGATCCTTGAGATATCAAACCTTAGGATGCTGGGATGCCCAGCCTCAGGACCCCCAGGATACTGGACCCTGTGCCCCCTGGGATGCCCAGCCATGGAACCTCTGGGATGCAGGACAGCACTGGTGGCTCCCCATCCCTGACATTCTCCCTGTGTTCCCACAGGTCCGGGCCCCTTTCCCGGAGTCATCGACCTGTTTGGGGGTGCGGGGGGGCTGATCGAGTTCCGGGCAGGGCTCTTGGCCAGCCAGGGCTTTGCCGTGCTGGCCCTCGCCTTCTTTGCCTACGATGACCTGCCCCGAGTCCTGGCCCAGCTGGACCTGGAATATTTCGAGGAAGCGGCAGAGCTGCTCCTCCGGCATCCCAAGGTGAGTCCTGGAGTGTCATCCTGGTGAGCAGGATGTCCAGGTGACCAGGGGTAATGTCCTAGGGTTGTCCCAGGGGCTGGGGGATATCCCATGAGGACATCCTTGTCCTGGCACCCAGGGCTGTCCCAGTAAATGTATTATCCCTGTGTATTATCCCAGCTGGCTCCATTTCCTCTTGCTTCAGGTCCGAGGCCCCGGCCTGGGCGTGGTGGGTGTCTCCAAAGGTGCGGAGGTGGCCTTGGCCATGGCCACTTTCCTGCCACAGGTGGTGGCCACAGTGTGGATCAACGGTACAAGCTTCCTGTATGGAAACCCGCTGCTCTACAAGGAGCTCCGCATCCCTGCCATCCCCTACTACACCGAGCGCGTCCTGTTCACCGAGGTGGGAGCCATGGACAACTCGGCCATCTTCACCGACCCCCGGGATCCCGCCCACCGCGCCTCGGCCATCCCGGTGGAGAAGATCCGGGGAAAGGTATTATTTGTGGTGGGAGAGGCCGACCGGAGCTTCAACAGCAAGCTCTTCGCCGAGCTGGCCCTGGCGCGGATGCCGCCGGAGAGTGGCCGGCTCCTCTCCTATCCCGGCGCCGGGCACCTGATCGAGCCCCCCGGATCCCCCCTGTGCAGCAACTCCAGCATCCGGGGCACTCCCAGGCCAGTGGCATGGGGGGGAGAGCCCCAGCCCCATGCCCGGGCCCAGGAGCATTCCTGGCAGGAGATCCTGCAGTTCTTGGAGCTCCATCTGGGGTCGGTGGCCGCCATGAAGCTGTGAGGGGTGGGGAAAAGGGTTTGGGATCACCGGGGTTGTCACTGCGGGAAATAAAGTGTCACTGGTGGCTCCTGCCTGTGCTCCTGGGAGATGATGTGTGGGACAAAGGTTGGATGCAGATTTAGGGGATATATTGGAGATATTTGGGAGATACATCAGATATATATAGTGGATACACGTGGGATATATATGGGGTATATATATGTGGGATAGATCTATCGGATATATATCAGATATATATTGGACACATATAAAGGATATATATTGGATACATATGGAACATATATAGGATGCAGAACAGACAGCTCAGACGTGTATTGGACATATATAGCACATTTATAAAACATATATTAGACATATATATATGTATCTAGGACACATATGGGGCACATATGGCCAATACCAGCCCAGCTGTGGCTCTGGGGACAGACTGCTCTCTGCAGCTGCCCTCACTTCCAGGGGAGGTTTGAAGGAATCACATCCAGCCCCCAGCTCCTCACGCCCTCCCACCGGGATCCCTGTGCTCCTGGGAGCTGGCGTGACCCCATTCCCACACCCAGGGCATGGGACAGGGAGTGGCCGTGACTGTCACTGCGGGAAGGGTGGGGAGGGGTGTTGCCGTTTAATCCGCAGTAAAGATAAATCCCAGAAGGGAAACATGGGGAAAGGTAGGCAGAGGGAAGGCATGTGCAGGACTTTGGATTGCCCTGTTGCACTGTCAGCAGGGCACAACCAGGGTGCAGCAGGGATTTGGGGTAACTGGCTGATTCCTTGTCCCTCAGACGTCACTGGGGCCATGCCAATGTGTCCCCTGGTCCCGTGGCTATTCCAGGAGTGGTGTGGCCAGAGGTCACCAGTGTCCCCACTAGCTCTGGGGAGGTGGGCACACACCAGCCTCCTCCTTTCCCCCTGGATAACTTGATCCAGCTGGGCATCCTGCCTGGCACCAGTTCCATTCCCTGTTCACTGGGACAGCCTCCAAGTGTGGGATAAGCTTGGTTTGTCCCTGGTCACCGTGACACAGCCACAGGAGGTGACCACAGGGCTGGGGCACTGAGGTCACCGGCAGCACGGGAGCGAGGAGCCCCGGGCAGGGCTCATCCCATGGAATCAGCTGATCCTGATCCCCCCTCCTCCCTGCATCCCAGCCATCCGGATATAAACCCACACCGCAGGGCCCCGTGCTCCGTCTGTGTCACCGCCATGGGATGGAGCTGCTCCTTCCTCCTGCTCCTCTTCCTCCTGTCCCCGTGGCCCAGAGCCACCGTGGCACTCCTGCAGTACCGCTATGACTGCGGAGAGTTGGGAATGCAGCTCCTGGTCTTCCCATCCCACGGCCGCACTGTCCGCTTCAAGGTTCTGGGTGAGTGAGGGGACTCCCTGGATCCCCTTGGGGTGCTGGATTTCCCTGGGATTCCCCTCAGTCCCGAAGTGTTCCCTGGTGATGGTATCCCAATGGGATGAGCCCAATGGCTTGGATGAGCTGTTGCTGCTGCCTGGGGGGTTTCCATGCATGTGTCACTTGCCCGTGTCCATGGTGTCCCCCCAGATGAGTTTGGCTCCCACTTTGACGTGGCCAACTGCTCCATCTGCCTCCACTGGCTGAATTCCAGGGAGGATGGCTCCGTCATCTTCTCCTCTGGCTATAAGGGCTGCCATGTCCTGTTCAAGGTGACGCTCCCGTCCCCTCTGCGGTCCCCTCCAGCAGGATGGGGGTGACTGTCCCTCGTGTTCCCCCACAGGAGAACCGCTACGTCCTGCGTGTGCAGCTGGAGGAGCTGCTGTCCAGCGGGATCTCGGTCACCTCCTACGAGATCAACAT